TTTTTATTGTAGTGTTTTGAAGTTTTATAATGATCATATCCATTGAGAATCGGAATTATAGGATTACAAGATAGCCAGCATTCAGAAAGAACGATAATGTCGCAGCAAGTATTAATTCTTTCTAATGACATTAAAAGTCCTGAAAAATTTGCATTGATGCTACGAATATTTTGAGACAAAACAGTGAGACAGCTATGATAAGACGTAAGCAAATCACCACATTTTTCGGGATTACATAATATTGCTTCATTAAAGGAAGTATTATCAAGATTATTTAATAGGTCATTTAATGCAGCGCCTTATAGTTATGTTTTTAAATAGGTAGCATAAACAAGATTTTAACTTGTATTCGAAAATAAGAATAATTAAGCATATTAAATATATCCATGAATGTGTGCAAAGAGCAAATATTATGTAATTTGTGAGAGCGTTAATTTGGTTTGAGAGTTGAACGTGCATGTTTTTTTGTGTGAGGTTATAAAAATAGTCGAGCGTGTATATATTATTTGTTTGTAAATATTTTGTGGGTTGATGTGTTAGTAGTATATAAAGTAGTAAATTATAAAAGTAAACAGTGGGTAGTTTAGAATACATACAGAATAATTTTGTAAACATAAAGCCAGAGACACACTTAGTTAGACATGCAAGCAATTTATAAGAAATCATAATTAAATAGGTTATGCATAATATTATAAATGTACCTAGTCATATTATATTTTTTAAATTTGCAATATCATTTTCATTTTTTATTTCTATCCGAGCGCCACCTTCAGTTTTCCGCAAATAAATTCGGCCCTTATTAGTCCAGCAATAACGGTAATTCATTGTTTTAGCTGTATCACGTGCTAAAATATAAAGTTTTCGGTCCTTCTTTGTTAAACTTTCAGATATATATATCGGCATTGTAGAACTAGAAAGACCAATAGATTTTGAGGAGAGTTTATTATTAATGTTAATTTTATTAAACTCTTTCGCTCCACTTAATATCTTATTTTTTGACAGTACCGAAGTTAATTCGGTGATGACAGTAGACACACCGGCTTTGGTTTTAATTCTGTATATGTCTTTTATCTCGGATGGGTGAAAATTAACATTTAAAACATCACAAATCTTTTGAACCAGATCACATAAGTCTTGTTGTGTCTCCTGCTTTATGTTTTGTGCTGGAGTAGGTAAATTACGGAACTCGATGACTGTGGACTTAAGCCTTTTTTGCACGTCTTCTAATCTATTTTCCAGACTCAATATATAGTTATAATTTTCCTTTCGTTCACGTTCTAAATTGATAATTTTAGTGTTCATATCTTCATACTGTGTGGATATGAACGTTAACGCCTTTTCCATTTCAATATTAGTTGATTGAATGTTGGCGTTTTGTTGCTTAAGTTCGGCAATATCTGAACACAATTTACTTAAAATAAGATCTTGATCCTTCTTCCAATTGGTGAGCATGGATAATAGTTCATCTTTAAGGGAATCATCAATACCTTTCCTTTGATCTTCATTTCTGGGTTTTTTCTGTCTCCTCCCAACATAATTCAGTGGATTTTCAGGTTCAATGTTTGAAATATCACTCTCCGACGACACTTGATGCACTTTACTTCCTGGGGGTGATCTACGTATTATCGACATAATGATATTTTATTTAAGTCCGTAGTTTTCGTTGTAGCAGAAGTACACTATAAGTAGATTGTTCAGAGAACAAAAGACGACACGCGGTTAGCTGATGCGCAAAAACCAAATGTACTACGATACACACGCAGTCACGGATAGACACCACATTGATTATATGAACTCCTAGTACTTCGCTGTTAATTAAAGTTGACGGTTATTTAAAAGGAATATTTAATTAGTGTAACTAACACACGTCTAATAGCAACCACAGTCAGAGGCGGAAACGGTATCTATGTATTAAGAAAACTATAAGTACAAATGTTTGGAATGTAACAAGTTATATTAAAAATAAATATAAATATACATATAACCCCTCGAATGTCGCGGCCATTTTGGCCAATATGGCACATCTGTCAAGCGCTTCCTGACGTACTAAGTACTATTACTAGAAGACTATTTCCTGCTGTTCATTAAAATTACTATTTTCAAGACATTTTGTATGAAACGTATATTAAAATCATATATCAATGGAAACTTTATGAAATAAGCTATCAGATTATGTATAACTTGAATACAGGTTTACTTCGAAAGCAATACCAATTTGAAAGTGAAGGTAAGAAAAGTGTTTTCCCCCAATTTTTTGCAAAGGTGTAATAATAATAAATTAAAGCCTTTATTCCAAGTACTATTTGTTTTACTTGTACGTCAAAAGCATAGTTTACTATAAATAATTAAAACAAAAAAAATTTCATACATTTTTTGTTTACGATAAGGGCGAGAAGGGCCTTACTTAGCTCTACTCGAAAACGGGACAAATTGGGAGGTTTAAAAAAAACACATTATTAAATCAAATTAAGACAAAATCAATCATGCAGATATATATGTAATATATATGTATCTAAAATTAAATCTTAAACTATTTACTTTAAAATTCTACAACAGAATCATCAGAGTCATCGTCATCCACATGAATTACGATATCTTCTGCCAGATGAGATTTCTTCAAGTCTTCCTCTTGGAGTTTTTCTGCAAGGAGCAAAGAACTGGGAGAGACATGCACTTCGTATAATCTTCCCAGTTCTTTTGCGAAACGTTTGAAATTGCTTCATGCAGTAACACTTCGACGTCTGCAGTTTCAAAAGGCGCTGTTTTTGGTGGCAACTATATTTTTTGCTTGAGCCCATACCAACTCAATTGGGTTATATTGGCAATGATAAGGTGGTAAGCGAATCACTTTGTGTCCTGACTCCAAAGCTAACTGATTCAATTTGTATATTTTTTCTGGTCGGTTCCGTTGCACTTGTAAATATAATGTTGTTTGTATATTCAACTAAATACTTAAAAGAAAACAATTGTATTGCAAACTTTAAATAATAAAATCTGAAATACCTTTTGTAATAGCTCCGGCTTGAGCTCACTATCACTAAACTCATCAATTTCATTTCATATCAATTTCACTCTTTTTGTTAGCTGATGTCGGTGCCCGATTTATTTGCTGGGAGTGGTATGGTGCGTTGTCCATTATGATATGTAGCCATTGTGTCCCTAAAGAAATTCAGAGAGCGAATGCGCAAAAACAAATTTCTCTTCGATATATGTACTAAATTATCATTGCACTAATTTGCAGGTATTAGGCGGGGGTAATAATGGAAAACACGTCTCAGTTCCATATGTCATCACTGGCGTATTGCCAGTGATGACATATGGAACTGAGACGTGGTCCTTCACTGCTGGCCGTATGAGGACGCTCAAAGTCGCTCAGCGAGCTATGGAGAGGGCTATGCTCGGAGTTTCTCTGCGTGATAAACTTAGAAATGAGGATATCCGCAGTAGAACCAGAGTGACCGACATAGCCCAACGGATTAGTAAGCTGAAGTGGCAATGGGCCGGCCATATAGCTCGAAGAACCGACAACTGTTGGGGAAAAAGGTTCTCGAGTGGCAGCCTCGTACCGGTAGACGAAGTGTAGGGCGACCCCCCACTAGATGGAGTGACGACCTTTTAAGACATGCAGGAAGTCGATGGATGCAGGTGGTTCAGGACCGTGCTTTGTGGCATACCTTGGGGGAGGCCTATGTTCAGCAGTGGACTTTAGAGACTTTAGATTAGAGGGCTGTAATGATGATGATGATGATGAATAATGGAAAACAAATGACTCGTAACATAATAATGTCGCACCACCCTTTGTATACTGCACCGCCGCCGTGTAACCTGCCTTCGATGATTCATTTGTTCTTATCGATAATGGCGTTGCGCCCGCGCAACATGCTCACCGCCCTATGCGGGCTGAGGCCAAGATATGATTTATGACCCCAACTGCACGGACAAAATTGTCTTACTATAGCTATCCGCTCCGGCTTCGCACGGGTGATTTCCTGATCTCTTTTTAGCTCCTAATTAACCAACTTTAGCTTAAGGCGTTTGAATAATTCCAAAAAATCCCCTCTTGGGCTCCCCTTCTATAACAGACAGCAATAGATTTATACAGGCATATTTTACAATAACCGGCCAAATTTGCAGAGAAGGTTGAGTATACATAAGTAATATAGGCAATGTTGACGAAAAATTAATAAAAACATTTCGAACATTCTGTCCTTTTATCTTTTATATTCAGCATGTGTGCTAATACATTATTTTAACTGATTTTACTTCGCACGCACACAATCGTAAGGGTCGATCGGTAGGCAAAAACGTTGTTGCCCATAAATCATGTTCAATTCAAATTAAAGTAAAAAAAAAGTAGAAGCCTTATTTACTCGCAGTGTTCTAAAACTGCAATAACGGTATATCATTAGATTAAAATATTGTTACATGTTATGTCCATATCACGTCGGAGTAAATTAAAATAATAAAAAATTCCTAGAGCTATACTTTTAACTTTGAGTACTTATTAACTTGTATTTTACGATGTCGGCGCATTTGCTCTTTAAGAAAAGTTATTTCAAGCTCCCGCATCTTTGTCTAAACTTGGATTGCATAGATTGCACATTTGCCTGTCAACTTGCGTGGACTTGACATTGTCATCGTCAATTTATTCTGAACTGAAACAAATTAGTATATGTATACTTTTTTCATAGCTACATAAAATATTTATTTGAAGTATTTATAAACAATACTGCAAATATATACTTTTGAAGTATTACCGTGCTGATAGGATATCCCACGGCTGGTCCTCTTGACTGCCTGAACACCCTCCAATTGCCTTTTGGACTCATGGATCCGTACCGCTCGCCTGCCCGGAACAATTTAATGCCTACTGGGGAGCGGTATCGCTTCCGTTGGGAATATATGCCATATACTCGTACCAATGTTTGATGGATGAATTATTGATTACAAATACGTATGAACCGTTGATTTGTTTATTCATATAAATGTTTTTGTTTCAGTTTTTTAGCCATATTGGGAGACGTGGACGGAAGGCTATTTCTGTTCGTGTCTACAGTCGGTCATTATTCGCTTTTCCCCTTACTTTATCCAAAATATCTGTTTGCAGTTAAAATATATATGTTGTTAACGTATTGTATTATTACATTTGGGTATGTACCATTGTTATATGAAGTTCCTAAAGCAAAAGGTGCCAAAAGAAGAGGTTTTCTACAGTTGCCAATGCTAGGTGGCTTTGAATCTTTATATTTGTATGGTTTAATGGGTGTATGCTCTTTTGAAAACGTTTTTCATATATCTTTAGGACTAGACAGGCGGTTACCATTTTTACCATTAATGATAACGTCAGTGTACTGTGCTTTTGGAGTTTTGTATTTTTGGATAAAATATTATTATTACTTTTTAACTTTCAATCTAAGTCAGAGACCTATAATAGTTACAAGTTAAATGCAACAAAATAAAAAAGGTAATTTTTTTTATGCTGTTTTATTTCATACGATGATGTGACCAGGATTAAGAAAGGAATGCTTCGGTGGTGTGATCATGTAGAAAGAATGAATGAGGAAATAGCGACAATGCAAATTAATGGTGTAAAAGTTAGCGACAGCGTTGGCAAGGGACGTCCTAGACGAAAGTTTATTGATCAAATTGGCGATATATTGAAGATAAGCCATAGTACCTTTATCCAACGAACATGTATGCGTAGGTATATATATGGATATAAAGGAGGCGAGAGGTGTGTCAGGATCGCGCCAAATGGAAGTCCGTAGTCTCTGCCTATCCTTCCTGGGTGACAGGCGTGAGTGTTTATGTTTTTTAATTCACAAAATTTTAGTAGGTATGACGTTGCATGTGAACGGCAAACGAGCCATGAGGCCACCTAATTATAAGCGGCTACTGTTGCCTATGGAGATCTGCATCTCATTAAATTATCTTTGAACAAGGTTATTGATGGCTTGTTACCTCTGAGGACTAAGATAGAATGTATTCATAGCCTGAATTACATTGGCTGATCATTTCAAACCATAGAATACTATAATACATACATAATAGAACGGGGGAGTGGGTGGAGCCCGTGTAGCCACTAACATGTCAATTCACACGTATAAATGTTAACACGAGATGTGTTTTGACGTTACAATCGTTTCCAAATTTCGCATGCAAATTATTTAGAAAAGACCAAATTGCACACTATTTACATATAAATATGTATTAAAATTTAAACGATTTTTAATGATGATTTTGAACATGGGGGATGAGTTGCTCGCGTCCGTAGGCTTCGACCACCTAACCTTAGGCCCACCCTACACGTTTCCCCCGGGTGGTGCTAAACGAGCGACAAAGCCGATAAAATAGACTCGGCTCCTCGCCGTATGGTAGCGGCGTAAAATCTACCACCAACCCTTGTTCGCACCATGACTCAAGAAATAAAAGAAATGGCCCCGAGTTCCCGGCGCCCTTTAAATGGGGCAGGGGTGCGAAGAATCTCCGGGAGAAAAACCGGCGACGAGGTTCGCCACCCGTCACGTTCTGTCTCCCGGAGGGGCGAAAAGTGGATTGCGGAAACCCGTCTGGCTACGCTGAATGTATGTGGAGGAATGAATGATAAGATGGATGAAGTATGCGAAATGATGAATGACAGAGGAATAGATGTGTTATGTGTGAATGAGACGAAACGAAAGGGAAAGGATGCCACTGCACATGGCACGTATACCGCGTATTGGTCTGGTGTAGGCGAGACCGAACGGGCATGCCAGGGAGTCGGTTTCATCCTTTCAGAAAGAATGGGTCAATGTGTGAAAGAGTATGAATGTGTAAGCCCGAGACTGCTATGGATACGAATGAAAGTGGGCTTAAAGAAGCTGTTCCTGCTAGGGGTGTACGCCCCAGACATGTCTAAGCCCACTTACATCCGAGAGCAGTTTTGGGACAGGGTAAGGATGGTGTTGACAAAATGTAAGGAAAATGAAAATATTATTATGTTAGGAGACTTTAATGGAAGGGTTGGGGTGAAGAGGTCTGGTTATGAAAGGATATTGGGAACGTTTGGTGATGAAAGTATAAATGAGAATGGTGAAGACCTCCTCACCGTATGTGCGGAAAAGAATCTTTTTGTGACGAATACTTTTTTTCGTCATAAGAAGATTCACATGTATACATGGGAAAGAGGTGATGATAGAAGCATGATAGATTTCGTAATTGTGGATGAAAGAATGAGGAGCGCAGTCGTAGATACAAGGGTTTACCGGGGGTCCAACGTAGGGACGGATCATTACTTGGTCTTATGTCGAATTAATGGTCTTTTCAAGCGTTGGCGGCATCGGACATCTGTATCTACCACTGCGTTACAGCGTATAAGAATAGAGAAGTTACAAGATGAAGATGTGATAGAGAAGTATAAATGTAGACTGAGAGAAAATATTAGATGTTTGAATGAGTTGTGTATGAATGATTTAGACTTGAATACTGTGTGGGATGATATTAAGAAAGGTTTGGTGGATACCGCCATCGAAGTATGCGGTGTAAGTAAGAGAACAAATGAAAGGAAAAGTAATACGTTATGGTGGGATGATGAGGTACGGGTGGAAGTTGAATCAAAGAAGAAAGCATGGTTAGATTTACTAGCAACCAAAGCTGATAATTCTTCTGGTATGAATGATGAGATTGAAAGAAAAAAGGCAGAATTTAGACGTCTAAATAAGAGAGTAAAAGAAGTTGTTGAAAGGAAAAAGAAAGAAAGAACGGATAAGAATGATAGAAGGATATCTGATAATTTCCAGGCTAACATAAAAATGTTCTGGAAACTCGTAAGAACTGCCAGGGGAAATACAAAACAGCCTATAATAAATGCTATAAGAGACTAGAATGGATGTATTCTGAATGATGAAGTTTCGAATTTAAACAGATGGAAGGAATACTTTGAAAGCGTGTTTATGAGTGAAGAGTCGTATGAATTAAATGAACTAGAAATTCCGAAAGAAGTGGAAAGGGGTATGGAGATAAGTGTAGATGAAATAATGAAAGCAATGAAAAGCATTAAAGCAGGTAAGGCAGCTGGATATGATAGAGTATCACTCGAGATGCTAAGGGCTGGAGAGGGAGTGGTGGCAGGCCTGCTGTACACCTTGTTTAATTTATGTTGGGAATTAAAACGGGTACCGGATGACTGGTGTAAAGCAGTTATAGTACCAATATATAAAGGAAAAGGGTCACAGCAGGACTGCAAAAACTACCGCGGTATCAGCTTGCTTAGTATTGTGGGTAAACTGTATGCTAAGGTGTTAATTGAAAGAGTAATAAAAGAAACTGATGGAAAAATTTGGGATGTGCAAGCGGGTTTTAGAAAGGGAATGGGGTGTACAGATCAAGTCTTTTCCATGCGCATGATTGCGGAGAAGTTTTTGGCCAAAAACCAGAAAGTTTTTTGTGCGTTCATGGACTTGGAAAAGGCTTATGACAGAGTGGACAGGAATGTGTTATGGCAAACATTGAACTCATATGGGTTGAGCGCTGGTTTGATACAGGCATTAAGGTCTCTTTATAGGGACTCTAGTGCTTGTGTCAGGATCAATGGGGTCTACTCGGACTGGTTTGGCATCCAAAAAGGTGTCAGACAGGGCTGTGTGGCTTCCCCTTGGCTGTTCAACCTATTTATGGACCGGTGTTTGCAAACTTTGAAAGATGAAGAATGTGGGTTAAGAATGGGCGAGTTAACCGTCAAATGCCTTTTGTATGCCGATGATCAAGTCATACTTGCGTCATCGGCGGCAGAGTTGCAAATGATGGTTACATTAATGAACTGGGAATTAAGGGCCCCTTTTCCCGAAAGTTAAGAATTTTACGCTCTGAGCCGGCTCGCGCCCGCGTTGCACAGGAGCCGGCGCGATATGAACTTGGGTGACCTATGGAGGCGGGCGAGCACGCCACAGTATAAATAAATCAGTAGTTCGATTTTGTTAGCTATCCTAGGAATGTTGTTGATAAATAAATTAACTACTGATCCTATACTATTAAACGAGCAATATTTGTATATTTATATTATATATATATATATATATATATATATATATATATATATATATATATATATATATATATATATATTTTAAACGTTACCCCTACACTAGGATTTTCTCCTGTATCGTGGGGGCAGTTTACAAACATAAATTATACAAGTACAAACATCCAGACCCGGAACAATTATTTGTAGGCCTTACAAATACTTGTTCCGTGCGGGATTCGAACCCGCGACCCCCAGTGCAGCCACTCATTGCTAAGCCACTACGCCACGGAGTCGTCAATATGTGTGTATATATATATATATATATATATATATATATATATATATATATTTAGATGAGTTCTCTAAAACGTCTCTAACGATTGCATGAAAGTTTCAATTTAGGGGTTTACGGGGACGAAAAATCGATCTAGCTAGGTCTCATGTATGGGAAAAATCGTTTTCGCCCGTTTTCGCCCTATTTTCACGCATAAAGATTTACCCGCGCAGTATGTTTCGTAATTTCGCCGCTATTGTTACGTAGCCAAGCGGTTATAGTGTCGTCCTATGAAGACTACGCGGAAGAAAGGTTCGGGTTCGAATCCCCATTCAGACTTTTTGTTTTCGTTTGATCAATTTTTATTTAGTTTTTTTATTTGTACATTTTTTTGTTGTTTATTGTACTTATAATTTTTTTTGTATTTTATTTTTGTATAGAAACGAAATTCACAGAATACATCTACCTACTAAGTTTCAAATATGTAGTCCGAATAGTTTCGGAATAAAAGGCTGTGACACACGGACGGACGTACGGACAGACATACATGACGAATCTATAAGGGTTCCGGTTTTTTCCATTCGGCTACGAAATCCTAAAAAAGCTTGAAAAGGCTTCTTTATTTAGTAAAACCGTTAGCGATACGATCAGTTCCAATTATAGGCCTATCTCAATCGCTACAACCTGTGCGAAACTATTTGAGTCTATTATTCTGGATATTTTATCGAAATTTATTTTTATAAGTGACGCTCAGTTTGGTTTTAAAAAAGGTAGCTCTACTGAGTTGGCTATTTTTTCCTTAAAACAAACAGTAACGTATTACGTGTCACGACGAACAAAAGTTTACGCTTGTTTTTTGGACTTGAGCCGCGCCT